CCTCAATATCCACTGACAGAGCCGTGAACAAAGGATAGCCCATATGGGACGGGACCAGACACCAGGACATCCTGCTTAGGGGGACAATGCCCCCCCCCCCTCTACTGTGCTAAAGTGATAATGCTGTAGCAACAGGGCTGCTGTCAGCACCTAGCTTAGCCGGGGTCCAGAGGGGGCCACAGGTCTCAGCACCATGGGAGCGCTGGTCAGGATGTGCAACTTTTCAACACCTCCCAGAGAGGAATATCCTTCTGTCAAATGTGCTTGTATTTCAATTGCTAAATATAAAACAGGGGCTCAGAGTTCCTGTGACCTTTCGGTAGTAATCATTGAGGAAATTGTGTATCTTTTGTAACGCAAAGAAAGATTGACTCCAAGGAATACAGAGAAATATAGATTGTTGTGAATGAAAAATCTATATAAACAATCCGAATATGTGTAATTAAGAGGTGAACATGTCGAAAGCTTGAGATCCGGTGTAGCCACTAATAGTACTTAATAACTTCTGCATTCCATTTAGATTTACCAGTGTGTATTGTGGCTCACTGACATGACCTCCTGTGCAGCCTGATCTCCAAAACATGTTTGTAAAAATGTATACGAAAATCGTGAACATACAAATTCGTAGTGATACATACTAAATAAATACGGACTGCAACTGATGACGTCACCCTATTCAAAGTGAATGGGGACCTGCACCCCGTAAACACACCTCGTGAAGTCTAACGATGTAAAATAAACGTGTTATGATTGCATTTTTAACGAGAAATCAATGTTAAATTGTAAGAATACAATACTAACCCTAACCCCTTCAAAAAATGGCGGAGAGACGTTCACTCAAGAATCCAACATGGCGGAGAGACTTTCACTCAAGGGGCGTGGTTAACCACCGCCAGCTAGTATGCATAGTTGTTATGTCAAATATTTTGTATACATTTTTACGAACAGGTTTTGGAGATCACGTTGTACTGTGATGTGACAATGGGTCAAAGAGTCTTTGTCACATGTCACCTAACCACACACTGCGAACAAATACACTTAAATACACACTGCTTAGAAGAAGAGGATGAAATACAGCCACAAATGAACAGTCGGTTGCATCTTGAGAAGACACACTTGAGTCATATGACTGCACATCATGTTTTCAAGTGTCAAATTGGGGACAAGTCTGTGCGTGTGGTGAGACGCATGGGTGGACCACGCACACACACACACACACACACACACACAGACACTTGAATGCAGTCCTGGGTGGGGGTCACTAGGGGGTAATATTGAGTCATATTTTAATTTGTTTAAATACTAAAGGAAATTGGTATTCACCACCAATTATCACACCGAAAAGCACATGACGCTGCATATGACATCTCTCGTATTTTGTTTTACTCTTGTTGCTTGCATTATTTAAGTAACCGCGAGACTTGCTGCTGCTGAAGTCCGAAACCAGAGCTGAAATAGAGCAACAGATGCAGTGAAAAGACGGGGATGACCCCGTCACTAGATGAATACATAAATCAAGGCCACCAAGGAGTCTGCAGGATGACCTCTAGCCCTGTCAAGAGGGCCCTTAACTTTCCCTTGTGGAATCTGCACCAGTTGCAAAGGCGGTAAGCCACAAGCCTCATGCCTTGAAACGGGAGAAGCTGCTGAAAAGCCAAAACTGGCCTCAGAAATACGTTCTGTGGACAAGCAGAGAGGAGTCCACGCGGCAACCCTGTGATATTTGATCAGGCTTGGCGCGTCCCATTGCGTCTGAGCCTCACCTCCTCCGTCTGCACACACCCAACACCTCACAGCCAGTCCCAGGGATAAGTGGTCCCTTGCTAAAAATACCGAGAGAAGACTGAAGCTTCGAGGGAGCCAAATAAGAGCGACTGGTGGGAGGAGGAAAGCACGGCTAAAGCATGAAAACAGAAATGAACACCTGATAATAAAGTGTCATGGAATTAAATAGGAAGTGACACAAAAAATTCTCTGACTTAACCTCCCGTCTAAAACAAACACCTGCACACTGTGATGCGCAGTCACACGTCTGGGAACCATTTGGAACAGTTTCAACGTTTCTTAGTCAGGTTTCACTCCATTCAATCTGTCTGTCTCCTCGTCTGTCTCTCCCTATCAGTCCCTCTGATTCTCAGGAAAACAGGTGCAAGTGCACAAAGAAAACAGTTAAATGCTTGAAGCACGTTACAGCCCCGCCTTTCCCCAATCGGCAGAACCTGCGGCAAGAGCATGCCAAACATTTCCTTGTGTCCTCTTAGCTGCAGCGTCTTCACATTGAGGAGCAAATATAGCCGGGCATCCGTTTGAAAGTGAGAGCAGTGGAGCTCTCAAACAATCCAAGGGGCAGAGTGTTTCATCGAAAATTAGGAAAGCAGACAATAGTCCTTAAAATAAGTGGGATACAAGAAAATTGTACTAAATCTTGCATTACCTCCTTTTTTAATTTAGTTAAAATGATCAATGGTATTTTAATATGTGATTATCTGTTCACATTTATTCATTTGATGATCTTGGCGGTCAGCCCTGGGGGGGTTTTAATTTAAAGAGGGATTAAAGGAGTGTATTTGGAGTCCTGCAGTCACGCATGAAAGAAGCAGCACTCGCTGTGGGAGAAGCTGCCTATAAAGTGCTGACTAAACAAGGAATGCAACAATGGCAATTGGAAATTTGGAGGGAAAACTGGTGTTAATGGTTTGGCGGCAACGTCGTCCGCTCGTTCCTCCATTCAGTCGCTAATGAGAATGATAATTTGTGGCTCCTCTGACGACCCCTACCCCTTTCAATAGCGACTTCTCCCATGGGACGCGATGGCGAGTATCCCCGAGGGACATTCTGTCCTCTATAGGAATCCTTTTCTTTACCAAAGACGGATTCCCGCCAGTTTCTTTTTATATAAGATTTATAATACGATGTTTTTCCGAGTCCATGTTGGCACCGAAGTGAAGCATATATACCAATAATGCAGAATTGAGAATCCAACGAGCCCACATCTGGATAAATAACACTAACACCAGCTGACATCTGCAGAAGGTCCTACATCTTCTGCCATCGGTGTCATCAGCATGTTAATCCTGCAACTGTTTCTTAAACAACGTTTAGTCGTTGCAAAACAGTAACATATCGTATTCCTTATCATTTCCCAACAACAGAGCAGAACTCGAGGCTTTAACCCGACTCGCTCTCAGCGTGCTGCTATTAAAAAACAATAGGACGGACTCAAGTCAACTTCCAACATCCCTGGTGTTTGCACCGGACCGCGGCTCGCTTCTTGGCGGACACGCGTGCGTGTGTGTGTGTGCGTGGGTGTGTGAGTGTGTGCATGTGTGCGTGTGTGTGTGTGTGTGTGTGTGTGTGTGCGCGCGCGTCGGCCTCCTCACCTCCGCAGAGCGGCTGCACGACCGGCGCTGCCAGCGGGGATTTACTGACTGGCGCAGTGCCCGGCCGCAGGCTGACTAGTTCGCTCGGTTCTCACGACCTCAGCTCGTACAAAGGCATCTCTGAACTATTAAATCTGACACGAAGGCAGAAGAAGCGACCGCGGAACCCACACGCGGTGCCAACACGATGTTTCGGTATGCCTCAGGGGAGGAGGAGGGTGCCTGCGCGTCGCCGGCGGCGGGTTTCGGTGCGCAGTTTGCGCCGGTGTCATCTCCAGGGCACTGGCACACTGCGGGGAAGTGAGAGAGCAAACTAATAACAAAACGGTTTGTTAAAGAAAGATGAATATCAGGTGTCGTGCTTACGTACTGGCCAAGAGACGGGAAAGCGTTTTTTAAATGTATTTATTTTGGCAACTGTTTTTGGCAAAACCTTTCCTGGTTTTTGTATATCTTTAATGTGCCTATTTTCCAAAATAAAACACTTTCTTCACTCATGTGCCAATGCCTGTTTACTTATTAACAGAAGTTTCTGAGTTGACAGAAGTTTCCACACACACACACACACACACACACACACACACACACACACACACACACACACACACACACACACACACACACACACACACACACACACCGTCTGAGATTGATTTTGTGTTTACTGGAGGTCAGGGGCTAAGAAACACTTTTAAACGGACTTGGATAAAAGCGTCCGCTAAATGACTTGATGTTGTCCCGTGCCGGCGGCGCGCGGCGTCCGGTGGAGTATTAAATGTCGCGGGGTCTCGGGCGGTGGTCAGCGGGCTGTAACCTAATCCCGAGAAAAGGGGCCCGCGGACCACATGTGGCCGACACACGGCCTGCGCCGCGCCGCAGACACGGCGCGCAGTTCCGAGCCCCACTCGTCAAAGAAAGATAAGTTTACACTGAGATAAACAGGGACAAATGGGGGGGTGGGTGGGGGGCACCGGGTGTCGGGGTGACCTTTAATCCACTGCAACAAAAAAAAAGTGAGCAAGAAACCAGGGCACTTCCAAAGGAAGTCATTATCCGCCCAAAATATTCGTCAACCTGCTATACGTTTCTTTATCTTCCTCCTCGCGTTTCCCCGCCATCAAAACAAAGTCTGACCGAGTTCCCCCGTCTTCTCGTTTATTGAGGGTGTAACAATTGAAACAACAAGCGAGGATCCTTCCATGTTCTCCTTTCAGCGAGGCAATCTGTTAGTGACATTAACCCCTGAGCGCATTTCCCAGGGCCATGAATGGGGTTTAAGACTTGTCAAAGCTCCCGCTGCATACAGGATGAGAGCCCTTTCTAACTTCTAATTACCTTTATGGCAATAGAAAACTATACTCCCCCCTCCCTCAATTGTCCGCTGGGCCAGATGCAAGTCGCTCCCGCCAAACTGGTGACAAGGTGGCCACTTTCAACTTGGTTGATGAATTGATAGGAGTTAAAATTGGGACAAAAGTGACAGCAGCTCCGATTTGACCTCAGCTATAAGCACCGTGCGTATTTTACGCATGACTCCAAAAAACTACAAAATGACCCATAATACTCGCAAATAGTATTACAGAACAATATGGATGATAGAAACAGGCTGTAGACAATACATTAACTTCTGAAAAGGAATTTATTCAAACGATGGGGGCATCACCCAACTTTTGGGCATCACCCAACAACCCAAGTTTTTTTCTTTTCAACACAAAATAACAACGTATATAAAACACAGCTTTGGTATAACAATCAATAACAAATCTGTACAAATCTAAAGTATTTTCATAAAAGGTACTTCATAACAAAACTTTTTTTCCTATAAATCTTCAACAAGAACAGCATATTTATCACTGACATCCAAATGTTGGAATCAGATGATAAATTAAATATATAAAAAAAAGAACTTGTGCCAAGTAAGGCAACGCTTGTTCCATAAAACGAAACAATGATAACTACATGGAGAGGGGGGCATTAAGTGGTTAGAGTTACCGTCCTGTAGCGAAAAAGTCACAGGTTAAAACCCCCCACAACCGTCGGTTGTGCCGTCAGTGAAAAGTCTAAACTGGAGAAGTGATGCGAGCTGGTTTGACGCGAGTCCTCCGCGCTACCAAGGCCTCCACACGGGCTCGTTGCCCTCCGAGCCCGCGCCCACTGCGACCGGACTGACCGCCTGGGACCCCACGGAGAAGGACGTCATGCCGTGGATCGGAGACGCTGCGGTCGATCCCGAGCCTCCGTGCACCGGACTGGCGTTGACCGTAACGGGCACTCCTGCGTTCGCGTAAAGCGGGATGACGGGGGCTGTCGCGGAGGAGAACGCCGGGTTCGGGATCAAAAACGCAAACTGTCCGTCGCTCGCGGGCACGAGCTGAAAGCCGCCAAAGACCTTGGGGGAGATGGCCTCCGCGGGGCCGAGCTTGGAGCCCATGGCGGCGGCGTTGAGGGGCAAGCTGGATGGCAGCTGCACGTGCAGCGGTTGCGCCAGGTGCGCCTGCTGGGACGCGGCCTGCTGCGGGTAGTTCATGGACATCATCTGGCCCATGCAGCTGGACAGGTGGTTGAGGAGCCTCGACCTCACCTCCGTGTTCACCCCCTCTGAGGTGGACAGGAAGCGGGTGACCTCGTTCATGCACTCGTTGAATCCGGCTCTATATTTGCTTATGACGGTGGCGTCTGCTGAGAGTGCTGCTGGGGGGGGAGAGAGAAGAGTACAGGGCATTTAGAGACGCATTTTGTGACTCCCGCAACAGCACACTAATGCTTTAATAGTTGTTTTTTTGGTATCCACTCATTTGACTGAACGTACCGCTCATCTGGACACGCTGCAGGTTCCTCAAGTGCTTAACTGTCATTTCCAGGATATCTGCTTTCTCCAACTTGGAATGCCTGGAGCTCTGCAACGGGAACAACGTGACAAGTTGAGTCTCTGTTCGAATGAAATGATCTTTGAACGTGAATGGAAAGTAAATGCATCAAAGTGATCTCAACTTACATCTTTTTTAAGTGCGTCCAGGATGAGAGTCTTGAGCTGCCCAAGGCTTTCGTTTATTCTGGCTCTGCGCCGTTTTTCCATGATGGGTTTCGACGACTGCAAAGAATAAAACAATTCCACGTTAACTTCTTGATCTCCGTTAACAGGAGTGCATCAAGTCGAATACCGCACGTCAGGCTACAAGACACTTGTTAACAGTAAAACCAAAAAAACAAACAAGAAACGTACTTTTCGATGTTCGCTGGCGCTTTTGGGTTTGTCCGGCGTGTGTGTTCCGTTTGCGGGGGCGCCGGCGAGAGGGGAAGCCGTCTGCTTCTCCATAGTGTCAGCTGGCATTGTTCACCAAACCAGGAAAACGCGTGAAAAAGTAAATCCTCTTTGGAAAAAAAAGCTCAAATCGTTCAACTGCTAAGTCGTCGGGATATATACGCGAGACGCCTGGCGGTCCCACCGGTTCGTTTTTTTTTTCTCTCTCTCTCTCTCTCTTCTGTTTTTTTTGTTGGGGTTTTGCGTCACGTCGCTCGTTACCAATGAGCTGTCATCCGAGTTGAGGAGCGTGCGTTGCGCCGTGCGGGGCGAGTCTCCGCTTCTGCGGTCGACACACGCCGCGGCGGTACTTATAGACGGCTCGCGTGCTCCCAGTTCGTGTGAAACCCTCTCTGCATTCTTTCCCACACTCGCCTCAGCCAATAGCAGAGAGGACTCACCCATTGGGCGCGGGGCAGACCGCTGATTGGACAACACCCCCGCGGGCCGTCGGTCACGCGCTGCTCAATCAGCCCTGCAGGGACAAACAACAAAGCGGAGCGAGCAGCAGCGGCCGAGCTGTGAAGTGATGAGGGAGGGGAGTGCGTGTGGATGTTTGCTTCCAACTTTGCTGCGTGCACGTCAAAAATGTTATCGGCTGCCGCTTGTGTGTGTGTGTGTGTGTGTGTGTTCAGAGTACTTTCATGTAGAGTCCGCAAGACACTGTGCAGCGAGGAGTAGAATAATCATTCATTAAAGGGGATATTTAGGTGCGAATGGCGTGTGTTGCAAGTGCCCCGATACCCGAAGGACATCCAACATATTCATTTTTGTTTCATATAAGCGTGTATTTCCTTCCTACGGTCGGAATGTCTGTTATCAACAACGTGTATTTTTTTTTCAAGCATACACAATGCTCGCCCCTGCATGCCAACAAATAGGCATTATCTATTTTTAAGACTCCTCGTGCGCCTGCAAGGAGGAGACCTCTGTTGAGGCACGCGAGGCGGTTTGCAGTAGCACGCAGCGAGCCAATGGAATGCGGCATGGCTATGCAAATAATGCGCAGCGCACTCTGATTGGCCTCGTGAACAGCTCTCTGTCAATCATCCGGGTGAGGAAGCAAGAGAGGAGGAGGAGGAGGGGGAGAAAGGGGGCACATCTGTCCGCGTGCCATTTGCCTAAAGTCTTCTCCGGTCCACGCAGAGCACGTGGCAAAACTCGCAGAATACAGCCTGGGTACCAAGAAGCACAATGGCCCGTGTCCTATTACCTGGGTAGAATACAGTGATCGGGAAAGTAGTTTTCCATACAGTACAATGTGCACATGTAAATCCCTACGCTGGATTACTCACAGGACGTGTTGCGAATATATTTGTGACGCAGTAAATTTCACTTGAAGAAGAGGCAGTTGCTCCTTCGCACTGTTAACATTATAACATTATAATATCACCCATGGAATGGAGATTCCCCACAATAAATATATGTATATATAAAAGTAAGCAAAATCAATAAAACCCAATATTAATGTGTCAATATTAAATGCACGGCTTTCGTGACATCCGCATGATGCACATTTAAGAAAAGAAAGTAAATAATGCAACAGCATATTTTAAAGATATTTCCCCTAACATTTAAAGTAACTTTGTAATTATGTTAAAGCGTTTTAAATGGGGTGTGAGCGGCGGTGTTTGGAGGAGAAGAGCACCATCTAGCGACTGATTTGTGATGAAGCTAATCGACTTGACGTGATGGATTTCCTTTAACAAAGTACCCCAATACAGACATTCAAGGTCTACGCTTTAATGAGATCATTTTAAATGGATCCTGCGTGGACTGTGGCTTAATGGAATAAGTGTTTATGGATACTTACAGCGGGTGTAATGATTACTGATAGGAATGTCCCTATTATATTATATAGTATTTTTGCAATTTCTATAACATTAGATGATTAGGTGTTTATTTGCTGTGGCATATAAACTATTTTTTAAAAATGAGAAGAACTTGTATTGAAGGAACAAAAATATTTTTTGAGCATTGTCACAAAAATACCACAAGGTGGCACATATGTGTTCAAATAGGACAATTAGTAATAAACAGAAACTTTAAAATGTGAATGCTATTTCATATGCTACTCTATATTTCAACTCATGCTATCAGAGTCTGGTGGATTCATATTTATTCTCATATCTGACTAATGGTTATTATGTCTTATTTTACTCAACAGTTCAAGTTAATATAAGAGCGAAGAAAAGTATAATAAAGGTGAACGTGGGAAAGTAGGATATAGTTACAAGAGGAAAACCTGTGAAAGAGCCTGCATGTGAAATCAATGTGAATGGACAAACATCTAAAAATATGTTGGTGAAAAGCAGGTGTGCTTCTTAAAAAACACAATGGGAAAGTTTCCGGTGACCTTCCATAAATTTGCAACCGTGACACAGATGGAAGCTTTATGTGAGAGCGCTGCAGATTTCCATGTTAAATCAGTTGGTGTAGAGCGACAATAGGAGCATTACGAAGTCTAAGGAGGCGTAGATGTCATAGTAATCTTAAAACTGATGACAAAGTCTGTGATCCTCTTTTAGTGAGCAGTCTATTGAAACAGGCCAAATGTAATAAAATTTTGCTAAGCCCTGCTTCAGTCCCGTCTGCAGTAGAGTATCGACCTTTGTTCAGTGGCTCATGTGCCCCCCCATGGGTGAGCGGTGCTGAGGCATGCCGGACCCTTGTTTACCCAGGATCCTGAGTCTCAAGAGCCAGCTGCGTGTGCTTGGGCTCACATGGCCTTTATTTGCTTTCGGATCGGCCCAAATGATGCAGATCTAATTCTACAGAGCTCCGCACAGATTACACAACTGCTCCCTGCAGCAGTGGAGTTAATGCGATTTTGGGTTGATAATTCTGTGGAGGTGAAAAGCGGCACCTGTTGAACCTGATGCGAAGTCAGAATGAGTCTGAAAACTCTTGGTGTTATCCATCAATAATTCCCCCCTCTTCGTTCCTGCGTTTCAAAGATCCTGGGCTCAGACAACAAAGAGAGCAGGAATTCCCCTTCAACTGAAAGAATCTTTTTGAGTGACTCCGTCATTAGAGCACCATTAAAGCTGATGCCGCCATCTCGGGGAATGTAAAATCACTGCTGCGTAATAAGAGACAATCAACATTCACCGCAAGAGCCAAAAGTACTTGTTTTCTGACTTGGCTTTCTGAGGTGGTCCGCAGGAGGACATGAAAGGGTCAAAAGGGAGGGAAAAGCTGTGTTTGAAGAGTTCAGCAGTCTGTCGTCCAGATCCGGTGAATGCTCAGCAGCTCCTTTTCAATTCCGCCTTCTTAATTTGTTGTTGTACAATGAGCCTGTGCACTTCTCCAAAGCCATGCGCAGAATGCAGAGGGAGAGTCAATTATATCTGTATTAGCTGGTGTCGGCTGCACAATCCCTTTACACACACTCCCCAATCGAGTGCAAGTAGCTGTGTTTACCACGATGAATCCCAGGCGCCGAGCGGGCACAGCGCCTGTTTGGGTGGCTTTTGCTTTGTTTCAGATACTGTGGCTGTTTCAAAGAAGCAAAACAGAAAAGAGACCAATCGGGATTCTGCAAAAGCTGAAACAACTGCCTTTAGGTGCATGAAACGCTTTTAAAAAGTTGTCAAATATGGGTAAGACATATACGTTTAATCATTTTAATCATTTACTTTGAGTATTTCCATTTGAAGTTTTATATTTATAAATTTTTTTTCTCCGCTTAATTTAAGAGATAAATATTGGACTTATTTTTAATTATGGAGTTTTAGTTACTTTTTGCTTTGTGAATACAAGATAATTAAATGACCTCCTCCTCTACCAACCACAACTGTACGATACAACTTACATTTAGTAAATACTATTCTAATACTATAATACAATCTTTTGGGGGGGAGTATCTGTTCAACTAAGGTGTCTTAGTCAACATTGAGGTATTAATGCCAGTTCAAAGCTCATAATTCAGGTGCAGTGATGCTGCATCATGTATCAACGCACTGATCTATATCTATAGTCAAATATAAGTACGCTGAGTCTAAAGATAGTGAAGTCAAATTGCACAATAGTGTTTTTCCTGCTTGCTAAAAACACATTAGTACTTTTATTTACTTAAGAAACTTAACGACTTTGAGTGGAAATACAACTCTTTCTTAATGAAAGAATCGAAATATTTACACCAGCACTGGTGACACAAATTAAAATCCAGATACACGATGACGATCAAGACACAAACACGTGATTTTGTTGTTTCCACATCAGAGATGAGTGCAGGACTTTTAAGGTCCTGTTAGTACCTGTTGGTGCTACGAGGTTTCTAAAACAAGTAAGGCCAGAAACCCAACACCAGCAGACCCAAGCTTCCGAGTGAAAGGCCACCTGTGGCTTCTGCATTCAACTCCCACTTTAAGTAGAGGGATTTGCAGAATACCACAAACGCAGGGTTGATGGTTTGTTATGGAAAGTAATTAAACTATATATTAACAAATATTTGTGTCATGATGTTTACCCATTTCCTCACAGACATTGGCAAGCAATCTGAAGGGATTTTCCGCTTCCAGGACGAGACATTGTGCGTTGTTGCTAGGGACTTCTTACATTTTGGGAGTGGCCAGATATATTAAAAGTTTTTTTTCACACTCATCAATTGTGCTGGTATTAAAACAGCTTTTTTTCCCCAGTCAACTATTGAGTGTTTGATGTATTACCAGGACTGCAGGGTGCTTTAAAAGGGGTCAGAATTTAAATATATTAATATGAATTTCGAAATATTTCTCATGGCATTACAGGGGCGGGTGTGTTCAGTCAAAGGCTTCAAAGCTGTGTGTTTGCACCACAAACGTGAGGGAAAGTGGTATTTTTCATGCACTTTCACTTTATTCTTCCTTAATCTCATTACTCTCTCGGCTGTTTTCATACCTGCAGGAAAAAAATCCTCAGATCAATTATATTTGCCTCACTTTTCAAGCGGCTTGTTGTCATTTTGCCATCTGCAGACCAGCATGTCCAGTACAATGTGATGTATTCACTGAGCCTCTTTGGCTTTCTGAACAGAGAGGGACCCTTTTCTCTTGCTTCTCGCCCCAATTCAGGGCTTTCTTCTCCCTTTTAAGTGGGCTGTTGATGAGGTTAGTCTAATCAGATTAAGTCAACTCACATTGCTCTCTGCAGTTTGTTTTCCCTCCAAAGGCGTCCTGACATCTCCTATACTTTTTCTTTATCCTCCTCTTTGCACTTTTCATCCAGGCTTCCACCCAAAAAAACCTTTTCAGCAGAGGTCCCAATGGACTCCTTTATAAACCAGAGTTCCCCAATGATATAGGTTATTTAGAATGGGTCACTAGA